CTGGACTTTTTTCCACCAAATCTTGGCGCCGTTAGTGATGAACATGGTGAGCGTTTTCACCAGGATATTTTACACATGGAAAAATGCCACAAAGGAAATTTCACTAACATGTTAGCAGATTACTGCTGGACACTAAAAAGGGACTTACCAGATGCTCAATATGCCAGAAAAACATAAGTAAGTACCATTTTTTAAATTCACGATTTATTTGCTGAAACCCCTTGAATCACCCGTTAATCTGGTTGTCTAAAGAAAACTAGACGTGATAGAAAAAATCTAAGTCCAGATTTGGAATCAGCACGCAAAATACCTCTAGGATCACTCAATAACATATCTAGGATAAAAAAAAAATTTTTTTTTGTTGACCTGTGTAATTTATTGAAATTTGGCTGACGCTGTTTCGAGTATTGTCAAGTACTCATCATGTGTGCACTTAGGAAATAATCCATTTTTTTTACTTAATTAGTTTATAATCCTTATAAATTATATATAACATATGTTAATATATATATAATTTAAGTTCTTATAGATAAGTGGTTATTTATAAATTATTTTATAATCATTATTATAATCGCTTATTACATTTATAGGTAATATTTTAGTAATATTAAATTCTCTAATTCTTATTCTCTGATTCAAAAATGTAATTCGATATTAAACTAACTCGAGCGGCTGCTACCAATCAAGGACTTCAATTTGTTGATCAAGATTTCTTTATAAATATAAAGTACATTTAAAGTCAAGTAAATAATAAATACTCTGAAAATTCACATTAAAGAAATATAAAAAAAATTATTTGATATATTTTATTGATTGCAAAATTCTATATATACTTAATGCATTTTTTTTATCAGCTTTCAATAAGTTATGAACTCACTTTTAATATTGAAACTTTTTGCGAAATGCATAAATCATTGAAATTACTTACTTTAGATACTTTGTAGTATAAATTTTGCTTTTTAAATGATTTATGTATAATATTGCAACTTAAAGGGAATAAACATTTTTCATAAATTAGGCAATAATTTATATATTAGGATTTGACTGCATTTAACAGAAAAAGGATATGCTGACTTTTAAATGGTCAAAAGGACATTTTAAGTGATAAATTTCGATTTTTCCGCATATGCAAAAATTTGAAAAATTTTCCATATAAATGATTTATGATTCGAAATATTATACTTTTGTATAATATACAAAATAGATAATAAATATGTAACAAATTTTTCATTTATTTGAAAATGGAATAAATTTATTTTTAACGACAAAGTGTTCAGAAATCAAATGTTAAAATTAATTTTAAATATTAAATAGCAAAGAACTAATTATTAATAAATAATAAAAAAAATTATTTTAAAACTATATTGAAAACACTATTATTATGTTAAATCTTATTCATTAATAATATATAATATATTGTATTATACGGTTGCAGGGCTTAAAAAATAAAGTTACTTTATGAAATCGTTTTCTGAAAAATAGTTCATCACATTTTTGTATTTAAAATGAAAATTTGAAAGAAGGTACTTTCAAGTGTGTTTATTATTATGTTGAAGCAGTTTTGATCTAGTGCACTTAAGCACTTATACTCTTTTTTAACTCGAGGTATTTTCAAAACCCCTCTTTACACCTTGACTAGATTATTGTTTATCACTTCATCAGACTAAGCAATAATTGACCTCAGATCTGCATACCTCCCCGAGAAGCCTGTAACCATTTTAAAATTTGATAACGCGGTGTTGGTAAGTCTGTTAGTTTTCGCAAATAATTTCAAGGCTCTATCCTTTATGTATTTGTTGATGGGATCAATCTTGATGTCTCTGAGGATGTCATTCGTCCTAATGTACCATGGAACTTTGAAAAGTCTTCTCAGAGTCTGGCTTTGTGCAATCTAGCTGGTGAATAGTAGTGTTTGAAGCTTTGCTGAACACTACACAACCATATAGAAGTGACGGACAAATTATTTGGTTATATATCAGTTTTCTGTTCTTAGCATTGAAATTTTTATTTCTGAATAGCGGTTGGAGGTATTTATTTTGAAAGGAAATAAAAAGTAATTTATGTTATATTTACAAAGCAGAAAAATGAATAATTATATTATTTTTTATGCGATTATCAAAATATAAAACAGTAAATCGCAAATCCGATAGGATTTATTCATAAAAAATCCTTAATCATCTATAAATTATTGATAGTAGATGAGTAATATACACTGTTTATTACATACGGATAATTAAACCAATAGATATTTCCAAAGACCAATAACGATGGGTACCTGGCATTATCCGAAACAGCTGCATGATCCGATCATAAATTCACATTATCAAGAAATTAGTCCATTTCATTTAGAAGTATAACACTAATTTATATGTTATTTAATGCTATGTTTAGACGACCGTACTTAACTCTATACATCTGCAGCAATATATGACATTTTTTATACAAAATCCATATAAAAGTTGTGCTAAATAGTCTAAGTGTAAACATAATATAAAGCTGTTGTTTATTCTCTTTTGCGTGCATTTATTCCGCATAACTTTGAACTTTGTACTACTAGTTTATATTCAAAATAATTACCTTTTAAATAATTGAGATTTTATTAGGACCCAAAGCAGGTCAATTTTATTTAAGCCAAAAAAAGTTATATAAACTGCAGATGTAGAAAAAAAATATTAAGAATAATATTAAGAAATCAAAGGTCAATAACATTTGTAGCTTTTGATCCAGACATTACTCTCAACTCCAGCTATCATGTCCGCATTAGTGATGATAATAGTTATGACTTTATATTAAATTTTTTAAATAAAGTAATATTAAATTGGTTTTTAAGTATATAAATATATATCATATATCAAGTAAATTATCTTGTACTTTAAACTGCACATGTCATTTGTTAACCAATATATTGGTTAGATGGCTCCGTGTTTTGCTTGAAAGTCAAATTGATGTCGTTGTGAATAAACAGAAAATTCAGACTACAAATTTGATCTGGATGCAAATCGAAATATATATTTTAATCGTTTTTAAAAACTAGTTCCGATCGCGTACCATGTGAGAAACTACATATCTTGCTTGATTAGGTTCTGATTAGCAAACTATAGATGCTTTTGATCAAGATCTTAATAGTAGGAAGTCATAATATTTACTTTATGGTTAAATTAAAGGCACATCTGTACTTTCAATACGGATTTTCATATTAATCCGATACAGAATTTCAATTTCGATAAAGGATTCCATTGAGTACTGAAAAGACTACCATATATACACTATATTATAGCTTTCTTAAACAAAACTTCCAGTTGGATAATATGCTTAGCAAAATCCTTGTTAATTTTTGAATTTTTAAGTCTTTTTACATGTTCACGTTCGAATTGAGTCTTTTTCGAGTTGGTGCATCTGAGCACTTTTACTCTTTGATATCTATGGATTTCTGACAAGTCCCACCCTTCTCACAGACTTATTTATGTATTCCTCAAAAGCTTCGTTATTATTCCATGACTGATCTAAGATCTGCTTACCACCTCATGCGGCTAGAGATTATTCTGAGATTAGACAGTGTTAAGTAGGGCAGCCTGTCGGTTTTCGCGAATAACTTCAGGGCTTTGTCCCTTATGTATTTTTTGACTAGGTCTATTCTAAGGTCTCTTAGCATGTCATTTGTGCGGATGTACCAAGGCACTTTGAAGAATTTTCGGAGAGCCTGACTTTGAGCAACTTGCATCTTCTTGTGACACCTCTCAATTGGAAAAAACTTATTCATAATATAGCATCGAGAGTATATTATATTACAGTTATAGAGTCTATTTTAATGACATGCTAAATTTTCTTGGCTTTAAATTTATTAAGCTTGTGTTCTGTAGTTAGTAGTAAATAGTGTTGTTTTTAGCTTTCAATCATATAATTTTTTCTGACCTATTACTGTACTATTTTCCGACAAGTAATCCAAAACAAAATGCGTGTAATAATTGTATTAGTGTTTCTAATATTAGCTTTAATTTTACTATTTTTTATTAAATTGAGTAAATTGCTAGCAATAATAAATATATAATTAATATTAATTTAAACAAACAGCTAATAAATAACATTCTTCAACTACAAAAACTGTTTATGTTGTATATTTAAAGTTACTATATAAGAAGTATATACATAATCGTATACATTATTTTTTATTAATTGTATGTATTGTTATTATGCTTATTGTTGTTTAAATTTTAAGTCATTATTCTCCAAATTCCCAAAAATAAACAATACATACATAACTTTTTTTGGCTTTAAATGTTAGATAAGCTAGTATTCCGGCTGAGAACTTAAACTTTAGTGTTTAAGTTTTTATCCCAATTAATAAAACTATTAGAATATGAGTACGTAAATATGAGTATTAGATTTTTTTGAACCATAACACAACACAACGATTTCAAAATATTTTGAAATTGTACGCCCGTATATTTTCTGGTATCACAAGCAATAATATTTCGCTCGAGATATTCTAAAGAGTTCTAGAAGAATAATTCTTTTAAAAAATTTAAAGCTGAAAGTGCACATTTGTTCACTACTTAACTTATTTTATGAAATTTTTGCCAAGTCATTCTAATGAGCAACAAACACTAAATTTATTACTAAAAAACCATTTGTTGACCATTTGTTTTTTCATAGTGTCATCTTCCACCTAAAGTTTGTTTTTATTATGAGTCTCTGAACACACAATCTCATTATGTATTGAATAATATAAAGCAGAGAATATTTTCTCTTCGTACTCTTCACCCAAAAGAGTCTATGGTAATACGCGCTCGGTGAGATCTATTTTGCCTCACACTTTTAACATATCTATTTTATAAAAAAAAATTTTATGGTGAATTGAAAATAATTCTCTGCGTTGACATATCAAAGAGCTATGGAGTAGAAGAACTACCAGGAGAGAAAGTTTATTGAAATTTTGTCAAATTTTCTCCGACAATTTAGCTTTTCAAAGTTTGCAATCGAATTTAGTGTTTTCGGTGGTATTAAGCAAGCAGGTTGGTTTGTGAATACGTTTCAACACAACAAAAAAAATTTAAATAAAACAAAAATAAACATGGACCGTTGGCAAAATAAAGTAGCTGTGGTAACCGGTGCCAGTTCCGGTATTGGTGCTGCTATAGTCAAAGACTTAGTCAATGCTGGATTAATTGTTGTTGGTTTGGCACGTCGTGTGGAACGCGTTGAAGAACTGAAAGAACACGTGCCCAAAGAAAAACAACAAAATTTACATGCACGTCAATGTGATGTATCGAAAGAGGATTCGGTTAATGAAGCATTTGATTGGATCGAAAAGAATCTAGGTGGTATTGATATATTAGTGAACAATGCTGGTACTTCTAAACTAGGAAATTTATGTGAACTTGAATCAAGTTTTGTGCAAAATGTTCTACAGACCAATGTTATGGGCGTGGTATATTGTACTAAACGTGCATTCAAATCAATGAAGGAACGTAACTTTAATGGACATGTTTTAATAATCAACAGTGTTTGTGGACATTCAGTTTTAAATACTACGATTGCTAAGTCGCCATCAATTAATATATACTCTGCATCTAAATATGCTGTGACTGCTATGACAGAAGTTTATCGGCAAGAATTTAACAACTTGGAAACCAAAGTGAAGATCACAGTATGTTGTATTAGATAAAAAATTTTTGTTTGTTTTATTTTAATATTCTTATTATAAACTCTTCTTACAGAGCATTAGTCCTGGTTTGGTTTCAACTGAACTTGTTTCAGATGGCTTAAAGCAGAGAATGGCTGATCGTATATTACAGCCCGAAGATATTTCTAATGCAGTTTTATTTGCTATATCAACACCGCCACATGTACAAATTCATGAGCTGACCATAAAGCCTGTCGGAGAAATTTTTTAACCTTAGAAAAACCAAATTTTTAATAATTTTGTGAATAAAACTTTGAAAAGATTTTGCGTATTTATAAAAAATTAAATAAAAAATATTTATAAAAATTTTTTTTTTATTATTTTGAAAGCGATGACTTCAACTTTATCTTTTAGTAAAGATAACAGCAATTAAAAGTTATACATATTATTAAATTTGATAATAAAACGATAATTTATTTTTATGCACTTTTTGTATTGAACATAAAACAGAGAAGTTCTTAAATTACATTTAACCACGCGACCCTAATCTAATCTTTGACCATTTTTTTGGCTAAAGCTTTGTTGTAGTTTTTATATAAAAAGCTTATATAATAGAGAACATATAATTATCAATGCTTAAATGTATTTTGAGATACCGAACGGTGTATTCATTATGAAATAAATTTGGCATTCTGATAACCAAGTCTATTTTAAAATTTCGTTTTCGATAAATGTTGATTTTATTATAATTCTGCCGGTTACAGTCTTGCTCTGTTAATTTATTATTTTTTTTCAAATTAATTTATAATTAATATATGTGTATGCCCACTATAGTCAGTATTAATGTTTGAATTATTTATTTAAAATGCAGTGCTTATCTTTAATTAAATGAAATGGAATGGAGTTGATAATTCAGAAATATTTATATATAAAATTTTTCTTTAATATACATATTGTTCTGTGACTACATGTACTTGTTTAAAGATAAATAATTTTGTTTTTATTAATATAAAAAAAATTGGTGAAATAAAAGAGAAATCACTTATAAAAAGTTTATTATAATCTGGTTATTTCAAAAATTTCGTATTAATATTAATGCACTCTTATATTGGCTGAGTTAAATTTTAATTATTGCATATAAATATTTTCTACAAAAACCTTATTATACTTTTCAAATTATTGCATGGCTTCGGGCTTTAAATTTTAACCCGAGCATTGTTTAAGATGTAGTAATAGATAATAAATATGGTATCTAAATGTTTTAGAAAAGTTTTTTCTTTAAGCTTTAGTTCTTATTTTACTACCTAAAATTCAGGAAAAATTTAAATGCGGTTTCAGTTTAATTTCTAATAATCTTTAGTTTCTAACATCCACAGTCAGATCATATTTAATAAAATTATTCATATGTGTTAGACGACAGTGAACTTATAATTAAATGTGTATATATAAGCAGTTAAAAGATTATGTACGATAATATGAACTGTATAAGTTAACTCTATTCATTTAGTAACTAGATACTGTCTGCAATTTTTAATGTAATGTATAATGAGATTAGACTTAGATTAAAATATTGCTTATTTTCATTTGTATAGTTCCATCCAAAAGTGATTTCTACTACAAAGTTTGAGTATGATACTACACTCATATCTACACTAAAGAAAGTTATAGAACATGGTCACATCAAAAGGTTGAATTTAATATATCATTTAATCCAGATTAACATAAGTTAATTTTGTAAAAATATATACCTTGCAATTCATTAAGTACTAGAGATCTACTACTAATACTCTGGAGATTATTTGAATAACGCAGTGATGATATAAAAAAATTCCTATTATACGTTCTATTTTTATAAGGCAATAAAAGGTTTAACAAGCATTATTTTAAAGTTGCATTCATCACTCTGACTTTTTCGTTATGAAGTCTAAGCTATTCTTGTTAAATGTTTCTATCTACAAAATTGGTGTGACTGCTATTCGACCCAAACATTATATCATTAGATCATATGTTTCAATCATATCAATTCATTTGCTTTAATAATTCACTATACCAATAATATTATTGTTTAGCAGCAATAAAGTTTAAAAAACAAACAAGCCATTGTTGCTAATTTATATAGCTGTAGTTTACGCGTTTATTTTAATTATTTCTTACTTATGAAAAACCAACATAAATTGTTTATTATTAAATTTTATTATTAAACTTAATACATCTTAAGTTTATGTTGAGTTTGTGTGTTACACATCAGTCCATCGCTCAAATTTGACAAGGTTCAATTTTCGAGACTTGCAATTATAATCGGACAATTCAAATAATAGATGTTTTCAAAGACAACTGATAGTGAATATTTAGTGATATTGGAAATTGCTGCATGGCTAGCCCAAAAATTAACTTAATTCGAAAGGTTTTTGAACAGCAGTGAATTGCAACAACAAATATTTAGTATTTTTAATTAATTGAATTTTTGGTTTTGACTATTACGACTAATGAACTTTTAGGGTAATATTTCTTATATTAAACTATATTTCATTATTATTTGAGACTACAAGTACCTAGGCTTGAATTTAAACTCTGCCAAATTTAAACTCAAAGCCAACTAACCCACAACCTTACTTGACGTATATGTTCTTACTTCAAGTTATGTTAGTTTAGCCTGAGAGATCTCTGACAAATTCACTTCATGTGCTATATTAGAACTATACCATAAACCAGTTTTAGAATAATTGAATTAATTAATTATAGTTATTTTTAATTGTTAAATTTCAGTACTACTCATTTTGTAGAAGTATAATTTTTTGTGTGTTTTTCTATTAAGAAACTAAACCTGAAGAATAGTTTCATTCTTCAGATTTGACTTTAAAATAAAATTTCATATTAAATAACAAATAACACTATTATTAATAAGTTGGCTAACGGACACTGACTCGGAGCTTCAATTTTGGCAGGGCACGAGTTCAACACGTGGTACTTGCAGTCTTAAATTATTACTTACAAATAATTAAATATAAGATATAATTCTAAAACCACTGATGGTGAGTATTTGGTAATATTAATTAATAAATATAAAAATTTCATTGCTGTAGTTAACTACTATTCAAAATATCTCTCTGTAGAAAACAATAGTTTATATTAGGAATTTCTTTCATCAAAACGGATGATAAAAGTCAATTTATTATTTATTATTTGTTATTATTATTTACAAATTTTATTTATTATTATTATTTATTTTATTATTAATGATATTTCGAATATAGTTTATAGTTATCTTTAGAGTATTGACTATCAACTATAGGCTTAAGTCGATGTATCAGTAATGATAAAATATTTTTAAAACTAATTTAAAGCTTTAAGTGTTATTTAACATCATTAGGCCGTACAAGAGTACATAAATTTGGTTATTAAAACAATATATTATGAACAAAATTTAATAAATGTTTTATATAATCAAATCACACATAATTCTAATTAATTCTTTTAATGTTATTAATTATTTAATTAATAATTAATTTTATTTTCAAGAAATTATTGATTGATTTAATATTAATTATCATTTGAAGCGGATAATAAATCGAAATTAGGCTAAAATAAATCAAAGTTTTAGTAAAAATATAATAAATGTTTACTTTAATTTATATCGATGCTTATATCAATTAAAATTTATAATAATATACAAATTTTTAATTTCTCTTAATATTTTTCGTCCTTGTCGAATGATTTTTGAACAAATACAATCCCCAAAGAATTATTCAGGGTATTATACCAATGCTCTAAAGATGACTGCAGACTATAGTTGAAATATATATTACTGTCACAAATACTTCAACTAAAGTCTGCAGTCTTCTTTACGGTACTAGTATAACACCCTGAATAATACTTCAGGGTATTATTATTGTATTTGTTAAAAAATCATTTAACAAGGACGAAAAATATTAAGAGAAATATTGTATCTTAATTTATTTCTATATTTTTCTAATTTTTACAAATCAATTCATATTAATGAAATTAATTAATTTCAACTACTTAAGTAAATTTTTTATTAAGGTTTATTTATAGTTTCTACATAGCATTGTTTCTATGTAAATGTTTTTATAAGAATTTGAACACAGAAATTTCTATATGGCCACACAAATTTCTTGCATGCGATTTTCTTCGCAGTCCTATGACAAAAAATATATCTCAAATAAATGCAACTCTGAGAGTCCTATCGTAAACTTATTCAAAGGACATTTCTCTCTTGAATTGAAAAGCTTCGGAAGTTTGCAGTTCTCGCAAAAAGTCCTTACTCTCAACATACAAAAACTAAACTGCTGTGCGTAGAGACCGCAATTACACACCGGCATTTTTTTCTGTCTAATTAAATATGCCAAGTCTTTGCGACACTTTAAGATGAGATTTCAAATAATTACAGGATTGAAACGTGAAGAAATTCAAGCGAGTCCGTCATAAATTGAAAACAAGGCGCCGTTACGAGGCTTTAAAAGTAAAAGGCGCGGAACTAATTGAACATAATGACCCTTTAAATTAACAATTGCAACAATATGGATGCTTAAGGAACTGCGGAAGAAACTTTCCATTTATGGCGAAGAAGTAGCGAGGAAAAAGTTTAACTGCTTGAAGATTTGTGTAAGTAATAATTTAAATTTTACACAAACCAAAAGTGAATCGGAAAAGGTATTCTTGCCTTACTCGTCTTATGCTCATGCAAGATGAAGTAGAAAAGCTTCTTCTTCTACATTTTTAGCATGGAATGTGTTGGTTGAATAAATCATTGAAAAATATACGTGAGTCCTTACTATACGAATAAGAAAAGAAATATGGAGCTTTCCGCTTACTTTACTTTATTTTTTTTTCACTTTTTTTCACTGTGTCTTAATTTTATTACATTTCTGCTCGCATTATTTGTGTCTTCTACAGTGTAATTTTCCATTGGGAATGAGAGAAACAAATTTAATATTATACATTTCTTTGCATTATTTCATTTCCATTTAAACAATAGCCAACGAGCTTCGACGCTCCTTGGCTTTAAGTAGACATTGGTACCATATGGTAACATATTTTATGCAAATTAGCTATTTCTTTCCTTGCCTAATTGGTAATAATTTACGCAGTCATTAAGACAAACAAGGATTTTATAATTGCAAGCAAACTGCTTGCAAGGAACCCATTTCAATTATTTCCACGGCTTCCAAATTCAGAACAAACTTTAATATATTTAAAAATGTATAATTAAATACTTAAAATTTTAGTCATATGAATATATTAAAATTTATTTATATAAATTATTTATTTTTTTTTTTGTATCTTTATACAAATGTTTTTAGTTTTTTTGATTCAT